CGAAAATGGAAGAGGAAAAAAATGTTTGTATTTAAATTTTTTACAATACATGACTGGTTACAAATCGAATGAATCATGATTATTATGGTAAAAATCGAAAAAATCACAAAAATGGGGTTAAAAAACAATACATTTTAGGGAATTTTCTTGGTGTATTTAAATTGGGTGTAGGACCTTTATACTTGGCTCAAGAAAACCTCATGTTATGTAGAATCATCACACCAAATTTCATCAAAATCGGTTCGATAGATTTTGCATAATAATTTCGCAATCAAGATTAAAAAAAAATATTGCTAATTTTCAAAATTATGCACAGCAAAAAGGCCCTAGATACTTGAAAATTTAATCACATATAGAAGGGCTCTCAGGCTTTCAAAATTTTTTTGGAAAATTCGAATCCGTCAATTAGGAGAGCTGTGGCGCTTGTTTAAACATTGGTCGAATTTTTATACTTATAAACAATTAGAACTTTATGAATATTCAATCAAATCAATTTTTTTAAAGCAGGTTTTAAAAGTTCTTGGAAAGACGCTTCTTTAAAAAAAAAACAGATCGATTGATCAATTAGGATTGCAAAATTATTATGCAAAATCTATCGAAACGATTTTGATGACATTTGGTGTGATGATTCTACATAACATGAAGTTTTCTTGAGCCAAGTATAAAGGTCCTACACCCAATTTAAATGCACCAAAAAAAATCCCTAAAAAGTATTGTTTTTTAACCCCATTTTTGTGATTTTTTCGATTTTTACCATAATAATCATGATTCATGAGTCATGTATTGTAAAAAAATTTATTCCAAACATTTTTTTCCTCTTCCATTTTCGCCTAAAATCAACTCTTAAAAAGATACATAATTAAATAGGAAGAAAAATATGACATTTTTCCAATTTTTTAACATATTGCGCCGTCAAAAGTTAAGCCCACTTTTTTTTTATGCGCATAGAAAAATTTTCATTTCTAGTGATATTTGAAAGCCAAAAAGCCAAACATCTCCATGGATATACGATTCACCCAAACTAAAACAGATACCGCCTGGTCTATTATCCAATATTACTGTCAGTTTTAATTTCATCTGATCACAGGTGATTTACTTATTCGTCCAAGTATTCTATGTAACTCTCAAATGTTGGGTAATTGAAACGTTGCTTACAATATCATCTGTGATACAACGTTCAGATATTTAACCAGATGTGACGATTTTCTGTAAAAACTGTGACTTAAAGTACCATACGATTTTCTCTTGACAGAAAGAACAAGGAGGGTACCGTTTTCTTCCAACTGTATGGTGAAGTTGACATCTGTATGTATTTAATTAATGTGGTCCACAAATCCTTCGAAGTTACATCCTTTACACCAGATGTATTGTCAACCTAACTGAATCAACACTTAGACTGCTGATGCTATGACTTTCAACTCGAAATCTTTCATTTAGATACTTGCCAGAACTGAGGATATGGGATTAATGAACTGTTTCTTCAGTCTGTTCATGAAACTAATCTGTGATAGGCCTTGTCATCTGCCATAGGCCTTTGATGGATATCTTCTAAAGCTTCTTTAATTGGAACTTATGTGAAGAAGACCATCACATCAGAACTGACTGGAATATCGCTTATATTCTTCAATTTTTTGACATAATACTAGGTGTTTCCCACCAAATTTTTTATTTTGTGTGGTTATTGCACGTAGAAGTACTATTTGGTACGATTAAATTGTAATATAGCATTCATAATAACATGTGATAGAGACAGCTATTTCTATCCAGCACCATTTATATTATAGTAGAAACGATACAAAAAGTAATGTTGAAGAGTTGCTCGTAGTTTGGCACGTACAGTTTTGGTCGTGACTTTGTACACGTGTTGTAGTTATTGTTTTGTTACTGTTATGAGAATGTTGACTGGTTAACATGTGCATTTCATTTGACATTTTCAGGGAAGTGGGAAACTGTAAGAACATTCTAAGAACGAGAATTAGAGGAAGATTCCCATAAAAATTTAATTTCTCAATAACCATATTTTATAAAGAAACTAAAACTGAGTACTTTCATTCAAATATACGTAGGTAATACTTAAATAAATTCACGTAAACTCATATAATCTAAGGGAATTAAGTCCGGAGATCTTGGAGGCCATAAGCCTCGACCAATAATGCTATAAGTGCTCTAAATGCTCTACAATAAATTTATCACCTTCTAACGAAAAGACCATTTTTTAACCTAAAACAGTTCGAGTAGAAACCGAAGAAACCATCAGTTTTTGCTTTCTTACCACAAAACTAACAGTTAACAGATGATTAGCGTTGAAAAACACTGATTATTTAGAAGATTAATGATAAATTCAAATAAAAAGACATTCAACGCAAATAAATACAACAGTAAGCACATACGGGAAGCACGGACGTCTCTGAATTGACAGATCATGTCGGTCGGAAATCTAAGAAAAGGGAAAGTAATTTTGACAAAATGGAAGTAAGTTTTAATATATTTGGTAACAGTTACGTGTGACGTCAGCTTCATTCATTCTGGATCGCTCGGTATTACAGCATGTGTTCTGTGAATATGTTCAGATTAACATTAGCAAATTGCATTAGGTTCTGTTAAGCGTTGCGTATATTCATATTATATACAATATTATCTTTGCAACGTATCGCCACAATGCCCCTTTCCCTTCTAGTTTTCATACGAACCCCGGCTTCTCCAGCCTAATATTTTAGTTCCGGCCCAAAAAATACAGACACGTGAATGTATCCGAAACAAAAACAAGACCGTTGCCTCGCCTTCGACCGGCCACAATCAATCTTGTTAATGGAAACTTTACAGGAGAGTTATTGGAACTCGGGCGGCCTTGCCGAACTTGAAAGAAAACAAGTGATAGAGAAAAGCTCTCGAAATATTGATTAATTAAGTAGGCCCGGTCTTACATGAGGCGGTAAAGTGTGAGGGAAATCTCATCCTTTTCTGATCTTGTTGGAATAGCCAAAGCGCGAAATCTTGTGAGATAAATGATTCAGGCGGCTGTGCAAACAGTTGATAGAGCTGGGAAGTGGGCTAACTCGACTTCTT